GACACAATTAATGTCCAGAACTATAATGACTACATGGTAAAAAGCAACCAAGTAACCAGTTTTTCATAAAATCAAAATGATTTGAAACATAGCGTGTAAACCAAACAGTATTTGCCGGCGTATAAGACGACTGGGTGTATAAGACGACCCCCCAACATTTCCACTCAAAATATAGAGTTTGTTATATACTCGCCATATAAGACTACCCCCTCTTCCGCAAACCTTCCACACACCAAATAAAAGGTGCTATTCATTGTCACCATTGTATGGCCGCAGCACGACTGCAGCGCATCCAGCCAGCCCACGCATCTCCCTGTGATCGGCACTAGTGCACAAGTGTGCATGTGTGAGCTCTGCGTAGACAAGGGGTGGGCCGGAGCGCCGCTGCTTCCCATCGAGCAGAACGGGCCGGTCACGTCAAAAAGGCTGGCACCTCTGTCGCTGCTGATGCTCACCGCGGCCGCGCTGGATACCGCGTGATACTGGACGGTACGTAGAATGAGGTGGGCAGGCATCGGGAGGCTACTATGGGCACTGGGATAAATAAATAAAAAATAAATAAATAAATAAATATGTCTATCCCAACTGAAGTGCACCCAGCGTATAAGACAACCCCTCCCACTTGGAGGCATGCTTTTCAGGGCAAAAAAGTAGTCTTATATGCCAGCAAATACAGTATATGAAGAATTGCTTACACCTGACCTCCACATATTCCTGATAATGCCTGAAGTAAGGCTTTGCAAGGTCCCGGGCATCTAATAAAAGTAATGAAAAAGCCAAACAGTCTATCCAGTTAAAATTAATAGACCATTATGAAAATTGAAACTCTTTCGTCTTATGAGTAGTTCTTCATATAGGCAAATTAATCAACCTTTCTTGTATAGTTCATCTGAAATTCATCCAATAGTATGAAAAATAATGAAAACCCTCAGGTATCTCTTATATACTAAGCTAGATATATAACCTAGCAAAGCTAGATGTCTGGAAAAAAACTGCAAACTTTGAAATTGCATAGAACAGTTGCACAATAAAAAATTTTTTTTGAAAATATTGAGATGCTTATTTCTACAATAATTAAAACAGATTTCACGAAAGAAGATGCTTACAGCCCCTCATAATGTTGCCTCATACTGAAGGATACAATTCTAAGTATGTCGGGAAAAAGTGATTTTTTTCATAATAATCCAATCTATACAGCATAGCACAGAGAAAGAAACATAGTTCAGTGGAAGAGCATATACTTTTCAAGTTCAGTCCTTGGCAACCTGCCTAAAATTAAAGAACCCTTCATGAGATGCTGGGGAGCTGCTGTCAGTCAGAGTACACAGTACTTGGCTGAATGGACAAATTGTGCAACCAAGTGTACGTCAGCTTCCCTAGTGGTGCAGTGGTAAATTTGGAAATGCTCCTCTAGAAAGTGCCCTTGGCCAGCCCATGACTCCGCAAGGAAAGTCCAAAATGCATGCAGCTGGATCAGTCCAAAATAACAGGTTTTGTTTTGTGTTTCTAACGCTAGCTACTTTTAAATTGCCCATTGAAAAGCAAATCACACTCAAATACTTTACCAGTTTCTGGGAAGATCATTTTCTCTCCCAACTATGTGGGCATTTAGCTGAGCTCAGAGGGATTAAGGAAGTCTGAGGGGTATGATAGTGATAGTCCTTGCTGCTCTGGGCGCAGTGGTTAAACTACGGCACTGCAGCGAAGACTCTGCTCATGACCTGACTTAAATTATGGGCTCACGTAGCTAGCTTGAGGTTGATTCAGTCTTTCATCCTTCTGAGTTCGGTAAATTGAGTATTCAGCTTGCTGTGGGAGAGCAGTGTGTAGCCTGCATAATTAAAACTGTAACCTGGCCTGAGAATGCTTTAAGCTCTGTGGGGTGGTATATAAGCAGCACACACTGCTTTATTCGTAAGGTCTCTGGGCTTTGACCTTTTGAGCCCTGGTTCTATTATAACAGAGTCTCTGAACCAGAGTAATGGGTTAAGACTATTTATGAGTTTGCAAAAAGACTAGATTGAAAGTTTTTAGAGGAAGTCTCCGGCTGTAACTGAATCTTAACCAGAACCTTAGCCCAAGTTTGCTGCCATTTGTTTTCCACAGGTGAGGCAAAATCGTTTTGACCCATTATTCTCGTCTGTCTGTCCATAGAACATTTGTAAGCATGTTCCTTAGGAAATGTACCCTAGTTCCATCAGGGCTTAACACCCAATGAATCCCACTCTCACCTGTGTCCTCTCTCTCCTTTCCTGCTTCCTAGTTTATTTCATCTGTACCCACTTTTCTGTCTTTTCCCCTCACCACTGTGGTATTCATTCATCTTGTACTGGAGTTAGAAAGCCATTTGTTTCACCGCACTATTCTCTATCATTCTTCTTTCTCTATTCCAACTTGTCTTCCTCCCACATTGGTCTGTTTCCACTATAGCCAGCTATTTAGCACAGTAGCTACTTTGGGCTACATAGGTTCCAAGTCAATATGACTGGTCAGCAACGAGTTATTTAAGCTGTTTCTAGTTTAGTCTATTTGAGTAAGAGGACTCTAGCCCCCAGAATTTTCCAGACAGCCTCTTTGAGCTATAACTTCCAAAATTCCACAGCTTGCATAGCTACTTGAGCTATTGCCTTTCAGGCTGTATGAGAAATGAGCATTATCTATGCTAAATTTCACATTTCTAGTTCTTTTATTGTTTTGGTGAGAGGACTACAATATTCCAAATCTCCCACCCAGCAATTTAAGTTGGGACATCAGTAACGGCTGTGCAAAGTTTTACATTTTTAACTTCCTGTTTCACATCTCTTTCTAGCTAGAAGGACCACAGCTCCCAGGACCTTTGAGAAATATAAACAAAATGTGCTTGCACATTTGCTGTCTTGATTTCTTTAAAAATGGAGGCTGGAGTTTTGTCAAGGTTTCTGTAACTTGCTGTGACTAATTGCAGCAAATTGATGAGACACATATCTTGGTTGTATAATTAGGAGTGTCGCCAGACATACAAACTTTATCAATAGGATTCTGGCTGGAAAACAGAAATCATAGTACTGTAATAATAAAAATAATTGTAGCCAATACTATGAAAATGGACTAATGCAGTATCTCTAATTAGAAAAATACTCCTTTTTAAAAACTAGGTTGTGAAACCATGGCTTGAAAATGATCAGATATGGGTCTCGTGGAATCACAGTGTTGAAATAAATGTAACCAATGACTTCCTAATAAAGCTAAGAGATCACACCATAAAGTTGAGATTGTGGGATCTTAAGGAGAAGGTTTGCTCAAAAGCCAGGTTTAGTAAACAAAAGGGTAATATACCACATTCGGATCAAGGAGATATTGAAGGTAAGTTTTATACCTAATATATTACCACAAAAGTGTATAGAAACTCTATTTAAAAATAAATCAGAAATTTTCGGATTACTCTTAATTCAGTGCATTAGTGATTCATCCATGCATTGCTAAAATGGCATATTTACCAACTTTTTGCATATGAATTTTGGGTAATCAAATAATAGTTTTACAGGGCCCAGGATGTCATTATTATACTGTTGGTATTATGCAGAGCTCATGTTTATCTGTGCCTCCCTGAGAGTGCCATCCAACGCAGTTATCTCCCATTGATCTTCTCCAACCTCTCTTCCTCTTTCTTTCTAAACATAGAAAGAAAGAGGAAGAGATTTCAAAACCTTCTTTGCATAGACACTGAAGTTAACATTACTTTGAAGCTATGCAATAAACGACTAAGAGCACTGTGTGGAACAGAGGCCTTTGGATGTCATTTTCTAAGAACAAGCATCCCTATCAGATCCTGACAGGCAGTGCTTGCTTGGGAGTTGAAACCTGGTGGCTGGACTCCTGTTGGTGTTTATGTAAGGTTTGCATAATGTGCTATGGCTGATTGTGGCTAATTGAAGAAGTGCCGTATGTCTTAGTTGTGGGTCTGGTCGTGCCCCTTATTGCAGAACTGAGATGTGCCCTAACTTTGAGTAGTCACAACTTTTTGAGTAGTCACAACTTGCTGCAGCAGGTTACACAAATCTTGTGTGAGCTCCAATAGCATTCTGGCCAGTACATCTGCATGATTTCCTCCCCAGTGATTGAATTTTATATGGGAACTGTTGTATATGGAATCAGAAGAATAGTGGAAATGGAATATCACAGTTTTCAGTTTTGAATATAGTCAGGATTTATTTGGTATCAGGCCATTTTATTCTTATTCCCAAAAGATCTCGGGACACTTGTCTCCCATGCTTGTATCTGGTAGAGATTCTCTGGCCCCTGGTTGGTGTTAAAAAAATCTGTTTACAGCAAAAGTGTTTAAAATTTCTGCTCCTGTGTTCCCCTTTAGAATTAGTAAAAGGGCTGGTCTCTGGGGATGAAGACCAATGTCAAAAACATATTTCAACAGAGAATGCCAACAAAATCAGACCTTCTTGTTATCTCTTCCCTCCGCCCATGCCACCAAAAACCTGTTCTACATGATTCCTCACCACCGTGCCAGGGTAGATTTTTGGAGTACATGGGAGTGACAGAAAGGAGGAATTTTGCGCATCCAGGAGGAAGCAGTGGGAGATGTACCATTGGATCGTGAGGCTGCTTAAATGTATAAGGAGATTGGAGAAAGACATGGCTGTGTAAATAGATAGTAGGCAACACTGAAAGATTAATTTCTTGTTGCTTCTTTAAGGTTCCGTAAAGCGAATGGTTTTGTATCAGAGAAACATTTTGGAACGCAATCAGCCCAAGCCCAGTTACACAAAAGTAAGAGCATCAGAAGAATCTTGTTTGCAAGAGAAACCAGTGGACATCATTTCACCAGGTATGATAAATAACATGTGTGTAGTGACCAGTTACATTATGCAGACCTTCCTGGATTTACAGAAACTATATATTTTTCCTGAAAGTCTTATTTTAAAAATTCATTGTTCTTTTTTCAGGAGTACTTGTGATCACTGCTGTTTTTATCCATTAAGGGGTACAAACTGACTTTTGCACCCTCAAATTGTGTTGCTGCTATATCTGTAAAATTACAAGGGTAACTGAAGCATTTTTGCCTTCTTTTGCCTCCAGTAATAACCTTGTGTCAACCCAGTAATACATTTTTAATAATCTGCAGTTGGATTGAAGAAGAAAAAGTAATTTTGGGTGCATTCACACTATGAAAATGATGAAGACTTTTGAAGTTGGTTTAAAGTCACATGGTAGTCATGTGTTTTTTTGGGGGGGTTAGTATGTATGTCCTCCTTGAAAAACTTTTAGTCTCTTTGGGGAAGGAGTGAGAGCCAGGGAACCATCAACTAGGGCTAGTAAGATGGAAGGCACACCCTGCAGCCCTAAACCATGATCCTGGCATCCATTACTTTACAAGCTCTGCAGGCACTATTTGGCACTGACAGTGGCATTCACATATGCCAAAACAATTCAGAATAAATCGATTTCACCGGCAATTAAAAATAAATGACCTTCTCATAGGCAAATAAAATACCTTGCTTTCCAGTAAAAAAAAACCACACACTTCCCTGCATGTCATGTAGTTGGAATTTTAAAAATCGATTTCAAACATGCTAAACCTAATTCAAAAACAGGTTCTTTTCAAAATGTAATTGTGCCCTTAGACATGGTATCTGTTATAGATAGCGGATATTATTTTAATCAAGAATTATCTCAGAGTTTTTTCTATTTTCATGAAGATATCTAATGTATATGTATATGTATATGTTATAAACTTGATTTCAATAATTAAAGAAACATTTAGTGAGTTTCTTTTTTGAGATTGTCATGTGTCCTGAAATGCAACAATTCTGACCCATTTCCTTTTGGGGTGGAGGCAGCTGGATTAGCCTGATTCACAAACACAGCAAAGAATTTTGTGACTCCATCTAACAAAGTGGTATACAGTCCAAGAATGCTTATGCCAAACAAATGTGTCACCTGGTACTGTCAGCCTCTTTGTTGTTCTAACTCATTTTCATTTTTGTTATAACTTGGTAACCTGCCAGATTTGTTCTTTCTAAAATGAAATCTTATAAATTTTTTTGTAAAATAATCATACATTGTATAACATTTTGACTACTTTCTTCAGTACTGAGGATTCTGCTGACTGAGTCTATCAGATGGGGTCTGAAACAAATCTTGTCATTTTAGTTATGTACATTCTTTGGAGACCTACCCTGGCTTTGGGTTTATGGAGTTTAGTACAATGAGTTTTAAAAATTAATTCCCAAATTAGTTTTTCTCTTTCACTTTCACCAGATATAATTGCTTAGTTCAACCCTATATTTCAATAAATCATGGGTTGCAAATTTTGCTTCTACCCTACTCTTGTTTATAATATGTATTGCATTTTTTATATGTTCAAAGAACAAACTTTAAAAATATATTGTTTGGTCTGCATTTAAGAAATTAGATATTTAACACATGCAGTTCACTAGCCAAGATGTATTCCAGAATCTTATAGCTGTAACTTAATAATGATGAAGTAGAGATCAGTAATGCTTCACCTTTTCTGTGGATAACTACATTTAAGTTAGTTAAATTGGACCCCCTCCAGCTTTCCCTGATAATATACATAAAAACGCATTAAAGTTTTTATCATCTTGAGGTTAATAAATTTCCTTTCTAACCACCTAAATGTGAAAATTTCCTCTTCTCTGTTTATTTTGCACTCTCACATTGCTTTCTCTTTAGGAAATTTTAAGTAATTTTTTTTCTCCTTAAAGGCTCTTGAAAATTCTTTAAATGACTCTTCGTAGTAAAGTTATCAGAAGATGTAAGAGCGACACACAAGAATAACTTTATTAGGAAGCTGCCGAGTTTGTTGTTTCTTTGGCAGAATTGATGCTAATAACTTGCTTGGCTTATTTCTAATTTTGAAAGTCCATTTTCTGGTAAAGGCAATTTAAATCTTGTTAAGGACCAATGGGAACAAATGTAATTGGTAGACATAAAAGTTCCAATTTGATAGTTACTGGAAACTTTTTTAAAAATGCTGGTTGTGTTAAGGAGGACTGCAACTCCATTTAAACCTTATGCACTAGGAGAGGATAGTTTAAGCTCCTCCAGGTCACATGTCGTTCCAGAATCTATGTACAACTAGTCCCAAAATGTAGACATTGCCACCTGAGCAGTTACAAAGGTGTTCATCAAATCTCAGCCACTTACCATATACAGTGTTATCTCTTGCCAAAAATAGCTGTGACAAAAATGTCCCATCTAATCTATTGGTCCTTTTCCCTATGGGCTCTCCCTTTCCCCCCCTTTTTTTCTTTTTGGTCTCAACTGATGTAACATCTTGGAACAAAAAAAAAGTCCCATAGTAGTTTTCAGTGAACCTCCGTGGCTTGGATCCAAGCTATCTCAAGGACCAACTGTGACAAAAATGTCCCAGCTAATCTATTGGTCCTTTTTCCTATGGGCTCTCCCTTCCCCCCCCCCTTTTTTTTCTTTTTTGGTCTCAACTGATGAAACATATTGGAACAAAAAAAAAAGTCCAATAGTAGTTTTCAGTGAACCTCCATGGCTTGGATCCAAGCTATCTCAAGGACCATATCTTCCTTTATGAGCCTGCCTGGCTATTAAGAGCATTGGGAGAGGCTTTTCTCTCTGTTCCACCACCCTCAGAGGTGTGCTTGGTGGGGTCACAGGAGAGGGCTTCTTTGTTGCTGCTGTTTGACTCTGGAGTTCTCTCCCATGGAGAGCCAGGCTGTCCCCATCTTTGCTGCCCTTACACAAGCAAGTGAAGACCTTTCTCTTCAGGCAGGCTTTTCCTTAGCATCAGACTGTCTAGGAGAGGTTTTAAAATATGATTATAATGTTATTAATTTGTTCAGTATTTGAGTAATACATTATTTTTAGCTTTGATACTGTGTTTTAATTATATAAGCCACCTCGGGGTCCTTTCTTAAGAGAAATATGGGATAAAAATAATTTAAGTAAATAGAGAAAATTAAATAAACCAGTGATGCAACAAAACAGAAGTGATATGCTCAGGTTGTTAACAGGTTGCTTCTACTGAGAGGGAAATAAATTTTTCTTCCATTGGCAGAACACGAATTTTCTTTAAGATCAGGAAATACAACGGGTATATTTCCAGTTCTTCCAGCTCAGTGAGCTGAAATTGTCATTAAGAGAGTCATCTAATTGGAGAAAAAGGGAGACCAGCAATCATTGCTTCCCCTTTGCACCAGCAGAAATGCTCCGATGTATCAGAAATCTCCCATTTTTGTGTAGCAGATTCAGGATTTAACCTAAACAATCAGGGAGCTTTCTGGTTTTTAGAAAATGCACCATGGTACAAGTCCTGTTGTGCTGGGTGCATCTGCACAGTGGGAATGACATCACTGGCAGATTGCTGCTGATTGAAGACTTCTTTGTGTGGTTTTGGGGTACCTGTGATTTTTTTGTTGCATTGTGTATAGGCTGTGTGAAACCTGAAGTTTCAAGAGGAAGCCTTTGATCAATGGCAGTCTGCCACTGCTGCTGATGTAATTCTCAGTGCACAGGTGGTCCCCAGCAAACAGCCTGTATGTTTTAAGGCAGTACATTCAGAATGTCTTAGATGTTCACTCTTATGAGAAAGGAGAGGGGGAGATGCTTCTTTAAAGATGATGGTTGCCATCTAAAGTACAAGAATTAAAATATTGATTGGTTAAGGTGAAAATCCTGTGTTTATGTATCTGAGAGCAAATTCTTTTGAACTCATTGGGACTTCAGTGCTTATAAGGTTGTGTTACAAGTTTGTTTCCAAATAGCTAGTAATTAATCTCATATTGCCACCCTAATTAGTATCAAATATGTTACAGAACAACACAGTTCAGCTGCAAGCAGGCACCTGGAAGATGAAACTAATGCTGTTGTTGATGAAAAATCATCTCCTAAAGATACTTCTCCCCAGCTTCCAGGAAAATCTGAAGATCTTAATCAATCAATGAGGTGAGTTTCTCAGGGTTGCAGTGTTTTTCCACGTAATTTCTGTGCGTATTGGGATGTACATGTGTCTCTCTAACTCTTGTCCAGAAGCATTATAAATTCATTATTTGATTTCTGGGGTAATTTTCTGACCTCATAGCAATTTCTATGTATTTCAGGACATGCCCCATGTCCACAAGCAGTTTTTGTAGGTACAGAAGCAAAACTTTCTGTTGTGCCCAAACATGCAAGATCACAAGACACATGTCTGCATGAACTGGAACATACATTTTGAGTATTGGACATGTCTCCTTTTTTGTAAAAAGTATAAAAACAAAACGAATTCTTTATCTTAAAAATGCTACTCTTAACTACTACTTATTCTTCTCCTGCCAGAGCTTGGGTATCATGGCTATTTTGAATCAAAATAACCATGATACCCAAGCTCTGGCAGGAGAAGAATAAGAAGTAGTTAAGAATAGCATTTTTAAGATACAGAGTTTTGTTTTGATTTTACATTTTTTATTTGAGAACAGGGTGGTACTCTGTCAGTGATCTCATCTGAGTTCTGCCCTGGTCTTCTGCAGTGTTGTCTGAATTCCAGTTTCTGATCCTAGTTCTCAAGTCTTTCCTCATATTCTGGTCTTTAAGCCAGGAAATGCAGGTGGGCTATTGCTCTGTGTCTATAATGGAACTTTTTACAGATCTCTCCACTTTGCTTCTTATAAGGCAGCAGGGAACCTGAACGGAGTGCTCGTGTAGGAGGGCCCAGCTACCTTACTCCCTGTGCTGCCAAGATAGGTTGCAAATTGAAGGAGCTACTGGCCTGATTTTATATTGCTCCGGCTACACCAATATAACATTTATTTTAAATATATTTTTACCTTGCCTTCTCCTAGAAAAAGGACCCAAGGTGGCTTACTCCGTTAAAACACAATATTAAAAGCTAAAAACAGTATACTATTCAAACATTAAAGAAGAATTAATAACATTACATTAAAAATGTTTAGCAAAGATATTGTGAGAATAGATTTAGAAGCAACAAAATATAAACCATCTTGTTTATTGTCTTGAAGACAGTCAGTCACTAAGGAAAAGTCTGTCTGAAGAGAAAGGTACTGGCCTGCTTGCAGAAGGATATAAAGGTCAGAAGAAGTATTGTAGTTGGTCAGTATGGCTTGGCCAGATAGCTTCAGGAATCAATGGGAGCCTAGTTGAGTCTGCTTAATAAGATTCAGGCTTGGTTCCACGATCTGGCCAATTAGTTGTACTGCGTAGTAGTACAGCCTTTCTCTCTTGCTTTCTCTGATCTCTTTCTTGCTGGTCCCATTTGTTAGCTGATCTGTTCGTTAGCCTTACTTATATGCCTGATCTTTTTTGTGTTATAAAGAATGTTCAAAAATATTTTTTCATGTACATTACTTAAGGGTTGATGAGTAGAAAAGTTACAGATGAATGAATGAATGTCCAAAGGGTGATTTTTTTGGTCTTGGAACAAATGGAAGAAAGGGAGCTGGGACATATAAAATTGTACTCACTCCCAGTGCTTTGTGACTTTGGCAGCAATTGCATAAAGGCCAGTAGAAGTGGCAGCCATAACAAGTTCCCCCTTTTAATTATTGCACATGCAGTTCAATTATGGAGTCCTCAATTAAGAGTTCTTTCATCTTTTAAAGTTAATTATACAGTGTTTTCAAGTGACCTTTACTTTGTTCAATAAACTAGATAAAAGCAAAGTGTTCAAAACGTTAAACCTTTCAGGTATATTTCTGAATCTTGAGTTACATTTCCGTAAATCTGGTGGTTGGCCATACAACTAACAATATGCTTGGTAATTGTCACACATATCTCAGTAGTGATACATGCAAACAAGATGACTGGTATTATTTCAAAATATGTTTTATAGAATTGAAAGAAATCCTTACCATAAAAATGATCTCTCTTTTTTTACAAGAGAAGCAGAGTCTTGTGGCTGTTGTAGGTTTTTCGGGCTCTTTGGCCGTGTTCTGAAGGTTGTTCTTCCTAACGTTTCGCCACTCTCTGTGGCCGGCATCTTCAGAGGACAGCACTCTGTAGAGTCTTACTTACAAAATAATGTGAAAATGCTAAATAACATAGATTATCTAATTTAAGATATCTAATCTATATTTAATGTACTGTACATATATTAAGTACAATGTATAACTTCATTACAACATATACAATCTAAGTAGAATGTCTGTCAAACTCATCCTAGCAAAGTGTATAGATAAGTCTCGTCTTTGATTTCATCATTTTGGCTTTCAGTTTTCAAGAAACTGGTTTATTATTTGCCTGTGCTCTTCAGACATGTTAGATTAGATAACATACACATGTAGCCAGTTCTCCAAGCTTTCATGTATCACTTGTCCTTTGTGGAAGCTTAATTTTTTCTCCTGTTCTTACGTACAGCATTCATGGTGTTTTTTCTTTCTGTACTATTGCATCTGTTGATTAAAGCCAATTCCTAAAATGCAATGCACGAAATAGCAGATGTGCATCTGAGGTTCCCTGAATGTGTTTATCTAGCATCTCCTTTTTTGTACTGAAGGCTGCTTGAGTGAAGGGTAGCTTGGAATGATGAAAGTACTCCTGAGTCTGAAAAATATGGTAAAGCTCAGGTGGTGTGCACCTGGGAGCGTAGCTTGCAGCCATCCATTGAAACTTGAAAAGAAAGTCCAGGGAGACTGTCAAAGTACTGCATGTGGGGTGGTAGTAGGAGTGGAAAATATTTTTTGAACTGTTGGGCATTATAAACATTTCTTGTGTGGTGCAAAGCTTGTCTTGATTTTTGAGAAAATTGTTTCGTGTGCCTAAACCACTAATTCTTCAATTTTAAGGTTTCTTTAGAGCTTTGTCTTGATGGCTTTTTCAACAGCTTGTAATTCCTGCCTTGTGGACTAAGTATTTCTAATGTGTTTAGAAGTCTTGGCCATATAATTGCCCTTTATTTTTAATTCATGAGTAGATAAATACCTCTCTATGATTATGATCACAACTTGTTAAGAAAGGCTTGATAACTTCTTAATCCTTTTACCGTATTTTTCTGTGTATAAGATGCCCTCATGTATAAGATGCCCCCCTTTCTAACCCAAAATTCCTTTCTTTCCAAGAAAGTGGAGGGGGAAAACAGGAACCAAAGCACTTTGATGATTCCTACTTTCCCCCTCCACTTTCTTGCCCTTTTTTCGAGGAAAGTGGAAGGGGAAAGCAGGAATCAAAGTGCTTTGATCCCTGCCCTTCCCTCCACTTTCTTGCGTTTTGATCCCTCCCCTCTCCTTACTTCCGTGTATAGGACAACCCTCAATTTTTAATCTAAATATTTTAGACTAAAGTATCATCTTTTACACGGAAAAATACAGTATGTGAATGCTCTCTGATATATATAACACAATGGCTGGAATCCAGTTGCTTAACATGGTAAATTGCATTTGAGTAAGCCCATTGAATTAGAAAGGATTTGATGAGTTATCTTCTCTGTAAAATCCATTATTCCAATGGGCCTTCTCTAGTTGCAATTTAGTATGCAAAAGTAAGTGGCAGCTAGAGAAAGCCTATCTGAATAAGTGAATCTTGTAAAGGAGTTGACTGGCCAAATCTCCACTGATTCACTAGGCCTGCTATACCATGATTTGTTATACTAAGCAACAGGATTTCTGGCAATGTTTCACTAGTGCTGGAAAATCAGACATAAAGCATGTAATTGGCAAATAATTGAGGTGGAGTGGGTTTGTCATCTAAAAAAAATCTTATGTTCTACTCATAAGATTTGAGGCCAAGAAAAATCACATCTTTATCAAGGTAACACTATAAATCATGTTATGTTGGCCACTGAAGGAATGTTCCTCCTCACTCCAAACAGATTTGTTGGGGGAAATGCTTGGATCAGGGTGCGAGAAATTAAATTCCCTTTTAAAGTGAATATAATAGCTGCTAGACAGTTAATGCAGTTTTGTACTGTACTGCCCAAAGTCTATAATTATGTAGGAGGCAGTGGCAGATGCTTGGTATTGACATAAATCGGAAGAGGTTTTGTGTGAGTTGGTTCAAGCTGTCGTATGTATCCATTCCTGATATCTGGAAATGGTTGTATATTCCAAGAATTGTTATTCTTGGCAGTTTGCAAAGGAAGGAAAGCTGTCATGTAGTGACATTCTGCTTTCAATAGCATAAATAAGATACGGACATGGATAAGAGCATCCTGCATGAAATGACTGCAGAACTACAAAGTGAAGCAGAGCAGTAACAGGAGACCAGTCTGCCTTTGTTTATGTCTTTTGGAAATCAAATTTTAGCAAAGAGAAAGCTTCAAAAGGAGAGCAGGTGGTCATGGCTTCTTGTTTCATTAGAGTTGTGTTCTTTTAGATTGGCCAGCTGGTGGTGAAGGCTTCTGGGAATTGCAGTCCAAGTACACCTGGATTTACCCAAGGTTGGGAACCCAATTTAGATTAAAGATGGTTTTGTGGCAGGTTGATATATACATATGTCACAGTGAGAAAGGGCTTGTTGGAAGTAGGTACTGTTTACTGCATTATACATGTCTAATAAAGATAACATTGAAACAGTATCAAACATATTTAGTGGTGTGGTGGACGACGTAGTAAACACCAGTCAGCCTTTGAGTGTGTGCAAATGCATCTTTGTGTTTTTCAGTGTGTGTGTGCATGTGAAAAAGACTTGTTTAATTCTTCAATCTGATATAATCTTGTTTAACAATTAAAATCAGATTAAAGGCGGTTCAGACAGCCCTCCACTCTCTCTGATATTGCTAAATGCCAGATCTACCCAGAATAAAGCCCAGCTTATTCAAGATCAAATCCTGGGTAAAGATCTGGCTTGAATCACCGAAACATGGGTGGGCCCTGAGGGGTGGGTGGCCCTGTCCTTAATAGGTCCACCTGGCTACTCCATCCAGTATCAGGGGAGACTGGAGGGACGGATGGGAGGAGTAGCCATTGTTTACAAAAATACTTTAGAGGTTGTCTGGCTCTCTGCCCTAGTGATTC